AGGACCCCGCGGTTGTCCGAGGCCAACGTCTTTTCCCAGGCAGACCAGACCTCTGGTGGGAAGCGCTTGCCCTCGCGCATGCAGCCCAAGAACGCGATCAGAGGGTCCCCCGGCTCGAAGCGCTTTGTGCCCTTCAGCTCGAAGACGCAGGGGATCTGAGAGAAGACCCTGATGGCGTGCTGGATCTCCACCGTCGGCGGCTCCGCGTACTTGTACGACCCTTTTCCGTCGTCCAGGCGCTCGTTCACGTCCGTCAGGAGCCCGATGCTGCCGGTGGGCTTCAGCTGCAGGAAAGCGCCAAGGTGCAGCACGATGGGGGCGCGTCCGAAGTGGTGGCGCGGCCGCTTGTAGGTGGACTCCTGCACGTCGTGCGTGTCGCTGCGTCCGTGGCAGGCGCGAAGGTCCAGCGCGTTGTACAGAGCTGCCGCCACCATGCTGACCTCCTCGATGACCAGAACGCGGACGTGCTCCCACAGCCATTTCAACCTCTTCTGCATGCCCCCCGGTCTCATCTTCGCGTTGATGTACTTCTGGACTCGCAGGGCACAGGCGTTGTGCAGCGCTCTAGCCTTCACAGTCTCCGTGAAGATGTTCTTCGCCTGCGCGTTCGAGAAGGCCACGACCATCATGGCGCCCTTGTCCGTCGACGACGGGGGCCACAAATGCTCCACCACGGGGAAAACGATCTTCTGCACCACGTGCGTCTTCCCCGAACCGCCCTGGCCCAGCAGGAGCAAGTGCGTACTTTTCTCTCGCTCCAGGGGTTCTTCTGCACGTCGTCCTCCCAGGCGTTGTCGCAGGCTTTGGCGAACTTTGCGACGAAGAGCGTCTGGTCCCGCGTGAGTCTCTCGTTCTCCGACAACCCGGCGACCAGGGCGGCGATGTACGCGCGTTGAGTACACGCTGCGGGCAAAACTGGCCGCAGCGGGGTCGGTGCCCAGGCCGCCAGCGCTCTCGCCCTCGCCGTCGTCAGCGCCCGCGTCATCCTCGTCGCGATTGCCTTGGAGGCGTTCGTCATGCATGTTCCCCCAGGCGTGTCTCTCCTCGCGCGCTGCGGTCACCAGCGGTCGGTATCCGGCCGCGGGCGCGGGAGCGGTCGCGGCCTCCGTCGGCTCGGGCGCACCCGCGCCCTCGCGGGCCGCTTCGGACATGCACGGGAGCGCGAGGAGCTCCTTGGACCGCCTGAGACGTCCTCGCAATTCACTCAGAGACGAGGCTCCCGCCTGATATCTCCTCCATATTCAGGCCTCAAGAGCCCAAAAATGACAACAGCTACAAGGTTCCGATGACCTGCTCGGATTAATAACATGATCTGCGGGCCCCATAGGGAAGGGGCTCCCGCCTGAGACTTCTTCGCAATTCACTCAGAGACGAGGCTCCCGCCTGATACTTCCCGCATACTCAAGCCTCAGAGGCCCAAAAGTGACGGCAGTTACAAGGTTCCGATGACCCGCTCGGATTAGTAACATGATCTGCGGGCCCCATAGGGACGGGGCTCCCGCCTAAGACTTCCTCGCAATTCACTCAAGCTCCCGCTCGAGACTTCCTTCATATTCAAGCTTCAAGAGCCCAAAAGTGACGAAAGTTACAGGGTTCCGATGACCCGCTCGGATTAATAACATGATCGGCGGGCCTCATAAGGAGGGGGCTCGAACCTGAGACTTCCTTGCAATTCACTCACATACGAGGCTCCCGCCTGATACTTCCTCCATACTCAGGCCTCAAGAGCCCAAAAGTGACGACAGCTACAAGGTTCCGATGACCCGCTCGGATTAGTAACATGATCTGCGGGCCCCATAGGGAGGGGGCTCCAGCCTGAGATTTCCTCGCAATTCACTCAGAGACGAGGCTCCCGCCTGATACTTCCTGCATACTCAAGCCTCAGAGGCCCAAAAGTGACGACAGTTACAGGGTTCCGATGACCCGCTCGGATTAGTAACATGATCTGCGGGCCCCATAGGGACGGGGCTCCCGCCTGAGACTTCCTCGCAATTCACTCAGAGGCTCCCGCCTGCTGACGAAATGATGAGTGAGCGAATGATGATGATGAGTGTGTGATGAATGAGTGATTATGATGATGATGATGATGAGGATGAGGATGAGGATGATGATGATGAAGGAGGAGGAGGAGGATGATGATGATGACAATGATGATGATGATGATGATGATGATGATGATGATGATGGCCACTGAGTGGGTGATCGAGAGATTATGATGGAGATGGTGCCGATGATGTTGAGAGTGGCGGCGGTCCTACCGTCGGAGGACCACCGCCTCCGAAGCCTACTGAGGATGAGTGAGTAATTGAGTGAGTGAGTGGGTGATCGAGTGGTGATGATGGTGGCGATGATGATGAGGATGATGATGATGACTAGTGATGACGGTGATGGTGGTTGATGGTGATGATGATGGTAATGATGATGAGTGTGTGCGTGTGATGACGATGATGGTGGTTGATGGTGATGATGATGGCGATGATGGTGAGTGAGAGAGAGAGAGAGAGAGAGAGAGAGAGAGGAAAGGGGGTGTGAGAGATCCTGCGCGGCGTGTGCAGAGAAAACAAGAGCCCCACTTTGGATGTGGGGAAACACTGGTGCAGCGAGGAGCGGACGAGCGCTGTCCTGCGCTGCTTGGCTCTCTCCGTACGATCGATTGGGCTCTTAGCGACAACACGCGAGCTCTTTCGGCCGGGACGTTATTTCAATCGTAATGGAAGCCGCGCGGAGCAGAACAGACTTGGCTTTGGCTTCCAGCTCCAGCACGTCCCTATACAGGTGTGCTGGGAGTTGTGCCTGCTCTGCCCGCTGGTCTGCTAGAGAGTCGGCCACGCGATTGACGAAAGCATCCGCGACCGCGGTCCTCCAATAACGCTCAATCTTGGAGGGGTCATCAATATGAGAGCGGCAATGCACAAGAGTCGTGTCAGCCGTACGGAGCGAGTACAAGTGCCAGAACTCCCACCAAAGGTCAGCATTGGCAAGACGATAAGTGTGATGCCGCCCTTTGCCATAGGCGTTCACAGGGTTAATGCGATCACAGACAAGCGTGAGAGTTTCATCAACCCTAACATGACTAAGAACTTCAATAAGGGCGGTCAGCTCGGCACTGGGAACCGTTTGACGTTTACCTTCAACTAAGCCAGAAACTCCGTGGCTCCAGAAAAACTGGTTGACAGCAGTCTCAAGGCGGGCAAAGGCGAAGGCCACTCTGCGCAGCACGGGATGCTTAGACCAGACCCCCCCCGGTGCCGTCAGTCCCGTAAATGCCCCCGGGGAAGCGGACAGAGGGCTCGCACTCCTGAAATTCCAGGTGGCGCTCCTCAGGCGCAGGTGGAAGCGCAAACCAATCCAAGGGAATGAGCCCTCTCCCCCAGAAAACAAGACAGGTATCAAATTCAGAGACTGCCTCGCGCCTGAGGTGCTCACTCAGCTGGACGCGGACGTTAACACTGTGAGAGTTGCAAGGCCACTGCCATAGACGATGCATGGGTATCTCGGCGTCCCTATTACAGTGTTGGCAAACAGCATCAGGCACGAGGGCGCACGCAAACTTTCGCTCTTCAGGCCATATTCCCGAACAAGCGACAGTCCTGACCATCGCCGCCAAGTCAGCTTCGCCTTCTTTGATAAGATGCCGAGTGAGCTCACCGACACGCTGCCAAGAAACACCTCGCTCTGCTCCTTTACCGAGATAGAACTTGGAGGCCTCAAGCCACTGGTTGGATTCGATGGTTTGGTCGATATCCTCCAGAAGCTGAGTGGCAGTGCTGTCCCCAGCACTTACAAGACCCAAACATCACCACGAGGGTTAACAACATTATGCGGGCTCGGGGTGGACCAGCCTGTGCTTCAGGGTGGCCTGCAGAGCACTGAGGGGGCCCAGGACGCAAGCCCACCCTTTCTGAACACGATCCAACGAGCGATCCCAAACAGCGGACACACGCTCAAGCAGCTCCGGGCGCTTCACCAGCCGGCCGAGCCAGGTGTCAACGAGGCGACGGACGTGAATCCCACCAGCCCTCTGGGCGTCGGTGGTTTAGAGCGTTTCCTCTTCCACCCCTCCTTCTTCCCCTTCGGGGAGGGGTTTACCCCTCCCCCTACCCCCTCCCCACTGACCTGGACAGGGGGGGCCGCGGGTAGTTAGAGCGTCCAAGAACGACCCCTGGGAGGGCTAACATTCGACACCCCTCACGAGGATCGTGGCTCCTGAGGGGGGGACTGTAATTAGGGAACCCCCCTTCGTTGATCGATCTCCTCCAAGATGTCTCCTAGGCCCCCCAAGAGGCCCCCAAGAGACCCCCCAGAGGCACCCAAGAAGCGCCCAGGAGGCCCCAAGAAGCGCCCAGGAGGCCCCCAAAGGCCCCAAGATGGCCCCAAGAGGCCCCAAGAGGCCCCCAGGAGGCCCCAAAGAGGATCCCGAACGGCCCACAGAGGCCCCCCCGAGGCACCCAAGACGCCGAAAAGCCCCTCAGGACGACCCTCTACTCGCCTGGGCGTCGTTTCTGGACGGGCTGGTGGGGATACGCGAAGCGTCTAGAATTTGCGCTGGATCACGCCCCGCCCCGAAAGTAAGGCGAATAGCCGTCGCACAGCAGGTACCGCGCCCACTGACGAGGCTACTCGCATGAGCACTACTTCGGAGAGACTTGAGAGAGGTGGGGCGAGGAGGAGGAGGAGGAGGAGGAGGAGGAGGAGGAGGAGGAGGGGCAATAGGAATAGGAGGAGAAAAGGATGAGAAAACGACGAGGGCCAGGGCGGGGAGGACAAGGAGGAGGACCAGGCAGGGGACGGGAGGACGATGAGGGGGGCCTGGGGGCAGGGGCGACGAGGGGCGATGGGGGACAGTGGTCGGGCCCCAACCGTTGTCCTGCCCTCCCCGCCCCACCACCAAATATTCCCTGTCTCCACGCCCCTCCCCCCCCCCCCGGAGCGCCCTCGAAGGCCCCCCGAGACGCCACCGAGAGGCCGCCGCAAGGCCCTCCCCCACCCACGCGCGGGTCCTGCTCTCGGCGGAGCTGCTCCTCTCGCTCGCGGGCTTCCTCGGGCGCTCGAGGGGGGCTAGGGGGGCCCTCCGCCGCGCCTGCGCCTGCCCCCCCCGCCCACCCTGGGCAACATTCTGGGTGGCCCGCGGCGCATTTCTGTCGTGCCGATTTGCGCGTTGCTCTCGGACCCCGCGTGGAGCGCTCAACCTTGAACCATCGCGGCTTTTTGGTACTCGAGGCACGAGCAACAGCGGCGATACACAACGACTCCCTGCAGCCCTAGCCACACCGTATGGTTCGGGCTGGAGGGAGGAGCGGTATGGTTAGGGCCGCAGGAAAGGACTAACCATCCGGTATGGACAGGGCTGCCAGCCCCCCCCCGCCCCCCCCACCTTAACCCTATTCATCCTATACCCCACTTGGCCTCACTCCGCTTGCCTCCACCTTCATCCCGCTCCCCCGCGCGTCGGCCCGGCCCTCCTCACCATCGCCGCCTGCACTTCGCTGGCCTCCCCTCCCCTCCCTCTCCTACTCTCCTCTTTTCCTCAGCGGGGAACCTCCTCACACACCATTCACCGAGCGACGGTGAGGAAGGCTGAATTACAATGGGGAGATGAACTATATCCCCACCACTCCTCTGAAGGCTCTGCTCTCCTCTTCCACTTGCGCAACACTCCTCCGCCCCTCCGCCCCTCCGCTCCTCTCCCCGCTGCACTGGCTCGCCTCGGGCCGCCCCCCCCCCCCCTGCCGCACCGCCATCCGCAACCCCTCGGAGCAGGCGTGCCCTTCGTCGGCCGCCTTACCGAGGCGAGGAGCACGTCACCGACCTCGCTCCGAGCGCGTTCCCTCGCCGTTCTTCGAGATGATCTGTTCGATCCGCGGCTCCAGAGGCCCCGACCCACTTCCCGGGCCCCAGAACCGTGTGGTGACGGACTGCGTGGTGACCTCGCAATCCCCAGCGGCCTCACCGCACAATTTTGGGACCCTGGAGGCCCCAGTCGCCCGAGACATCCTCGGAGAACAATCCGAATCCCAAAACCGTGCAGTGACCCCGAACCCCCATTGACTCACCACGCCATGTGGTCACGGCGCCGTTTGGGAGCCCCCGACCATTCCCAGGGGAGAACGTTTCGCTCCGGATTCATGTTTGATCCTCGGTAGGGGTGCGTCGAACAGCCCCCTGGGGGTGCATCCCAGAGCTCCCCTCCTTTTCTGAGTAGCCTGACTTTTCGGGCGGAACTTGGGGATTGGAGGAGAAAAACCGCCTGCGAGAATCGGCCGAGGGCCCCGCAAACGGGGACACTGCTGCACCGCGGGTCGAAACACGCTCCGGCCATCATCGCTTCTCCCTCCCTGGCCCCCCCCCCTGCCGAGCCGCATCGGCTCCACGCGAGGAAGTGGTGGCCTCGCGCCCGCGCAGTGGGGCGGCGCGCTACTCCCCCTTCCTCCCCCTCCGAACTGTTTTACGCGTCGGAACCGACTCACGGCCATCGAAAGGATCGGCCGTAGGTTTCCACCCCGCCAGGGCCTGGGAATTGCTCTGGCACCTGGTCCAGAGGCGGGCTTTCCTGGCCCAGGGTCTTTTGGGGCGGTGGTTCTCCCGGGGGCCCGTTCTCCCTGGGCCTGGTGTCTGACCCTCTTGTCCCTCAGGTTCTCCTCGATCTGTCCTGAGGTGTGTTCGTTCGTCGGGCGCTATGTTGGTTTGCTCGCTCGCCCTTCTCCTCCTCGGTGACTCGATGATGCGGACAACCCTCCCGATGCAAGGTGGCGCCCTCGACCCCTCCCGCCGGTGAGCTATTATCCTCCTACCCCTCCTCCTCCTCCTCCTCCTCCTCCTCCTCCTCCTCCTCCTCCTCCTGCTGCTACCGCGACCCCAGCACCCATCCACTTTGGAATGGGTGTCCACTGGGGTAGGCGTGTGGGGAACGTCCGACACTAGAGAATGCTCGCAGCGCCCAGAGGCCGGCTTCGGGCCCCGGGACCGTCAGAAAACCGCACAACACAGGAAAACACGTGGAGCTCGGTAGCCGTCAACGGGCCCCGAGGCCGACGACGAAGGGGGCAGCGCAAAAGGCGCATTCATTTTTACACTTCTCTTATCTCGCCGCGGGATCCACAGCCCCGAGATGGGGCGGAGAAGCGGAGCTGTTGCTGCTGCTGCTGCTGCTGCTGTTGCTGCTCGGCTTCAGCCCCTGCCTGTGTCTCCCCGCCTTCATTCGCGCCTGCGGCCTCCTCGCGCCCGCTGCCCCTCCACCTGCTCTCCTCCTTCTCTACTTATCGTCCTCCACCTCGTTGCCTGTTCAGCGCCTCCCAGCGGGGGCCGCTGGCCGGTGAGCGGCCAGGATATGTTCAGCCACTGCGGTCTGCAGTGTGGCTGAAAGCTCTTGCCAGAACGCCGCGGCGTCCGCGCTGGCGCCCGCCTCGCCCTCTGCGCGGTCCAGCCGGTCGAAGACGAGCTGCCTAGCCGCCTGGTCAACCCGCCCGCCCGTCTCGATCGCGACGGGCGCTAGGAGCGGCGCTGTTAGGCCAGGCGGGTAGCGCAGGTGTTTCCCTCGAGCCGCGTCCTCGGCAGCCAGGCCCGCGTGGGCTGCCCTGGCTCGCTCCTCGCGCTCGTCAGCGCCGTCTGGGCTAGTGACCACCACGCCCACCACGTGGCACGCGCCCTTCTCGGTCCATTTGACGTCCAGCACCGCCAGCTCCATCAAGTCTTGGCCTGTAATCGGATCACGGCGCCGCCACGTCCACTGCGGGACTGTTTGCTCAGTCTGCACCGAGCCCGAAACCCTCTTGGCGAGCCAGCGCGCAAACAGATCACGAATTCGGTCGTGCCGGCTGGTGCGCGCTGGCCCCCTCTGGCACGCGATGGCGTGATGCTGGTTGGGTTCATGCAATGTTCCGCCACCCCCCCCTCGCGGGATGTGTTTCGGCAGTGCGTCTGCTATACAGGACCCTTCAGCAGCCGCGCGCCCTCCACCAGGAGGCGCCTCCGTAAGGACAATCGGTACATGTCGGCCGTCATTCGCTGCTCTGGCGCCGTGGGTGGCAGGGTGAAGGCCCCTGCGCCAAGACCTCCGCAGGACAGAAGGCGGCCCAGCGCGCGGTCGTCAAGGCCGTTCTTTGCCCGTCCGCGCAGGACCTCCATGACGGGACCCATCAGGTCTTTCTGCCTGCTCCGCTCGCCCTTGCCAGCGAGACCTGGAGGTAGTGTGCCGCGTTGCCCACCTTGTGTTATATGCGGATACTGCTCTGGCAAAGTTCTGCGTGCCCGTAGCCTGTCGCGCAAAAAGCTCTTCTGCGCTCCTCATGCCCAGGGCGCGCGCGACCGCTGGGGCCGTGGCACACCATGAGGCAATGTGGGCGGCTTCCCGTCGGGGTTCAGCGGCTCCTGCTGCGAGGCGGCCGTCTCGAAACGGCAAGCGCGTCTGGGCCCACTCCCGGTCGGTCTGGGTCTCGTCGAGTCAGCGGTCCGGTAAGCCCCTGAGGGTACGGTCGAATGCCTGCGCCGCCTGCAGGTCCACGAGCTGCGCTCGCAACAGGTGATTCGGGAGGCCCTGCGCAGTCCAGCGGAGCATGGCTCAGGACTCTTGCACCCCGAGGCCTGCGGCCACGGCGTCGTGCAGGGTCTGGCAGAAGGCTTCCAAGGCCTCTGTCACCTTGCCCATGGCCCGGGCGCCGCCTCCAGAGCCAGCTGCTAGCTCCTCCCAATCGTCGTCCTGGCGGTGCGCGAGGCCGCTGCCGAGCACGCGGAGCTCGTCGACCGCCACACTTTCGTCTTGTCCGCGTTGAGAGCAAGCCCCCAGGCGTTGAGGCTGCCAGAGAGCGTTCGAAAGAACTGCTCAGCTTCAGAGGCGGGCGCGACAGCAAAGATGTCATCGAGATACGCTGTGACCAGCCACTGCGGGGAGCCAGCGAAGTGCTGCAGAGTTGTCTGGTGGAGGGCTGCCGCGCACGCCGCAGGGCTAAGGGGGTAGCCGTGGGGCACGCCAAATCCAGTGCAGAGCTCGTGCAGATCTCCATAACTTTTGCGCCAGAGGCCCACCGCGGGCTTCGCGTAGAGAGTCGGGCAAGCAAGCTGCCGTACTCGGGCAGAGCCGCGCCGAGGGAGGCGAGGACGGCCTGGCGGGACACCGTGCCTAAGGCGTTGGCGACGTCGACAGCGATCAAGATACACCCTGGCCGGTCGCGCACCGCGCTCTGCAACGCCCGGAACTGGGCGCCCGCGCCCCCCCGGCATCCCGAGTCCGTACTGCATCGGGCCGGCGGCGACCCGAGTGGCACCCGCTGTCCTTCTCCCTCCTCCCTGTTCCCTCCTTCCTCCCCCCTCCCCCCTCCTCCCTCCTCCCTCCTTCCTTCTCCCCCTTCCCTCCCTCCTCCCTCCTCCCTCCTCCTTCCTCCCTCTTCTCTCCCTCCCTCCCTCCCGCCTCCTCCCTCTGGCCAAACGCTGGCACTCCTCCACCATCGGGGCCCTACCGAGGCTCGAGGTTCGTTCAGAACTCTAGGACGTCGTAACGGCACATATCTACACATATGGATCTGGTGGGTCGTCTACGGGCAAGCCCCCTCGGGCAATCGCTGTCTTCGTCGAGGACTCCCTGGGCCACGGGGCGCCCATTGGCTTCGAGGGGGACTTGCTCGTCTCAGAGGTCCCCCTCAATCTGGTATCACTAGCAGCGGAGCTTCAAGGGGCTCAATGGGCGCTTGCTTGGTTCTTGCAGTCAAAGTACGCTAGTCTTGGGCATGAGTATCGTCTGTGCGCGTACACCGATAATTCGGAGGCCCTTCGAGTTGCTCAAGGGGGGGCACTTGAGCCCACGGTGGCCGACATGAGGATCGCGCTCGACGGTCTCGCCAAGGTCAGGTCGTACTTCGTTCGGCAACTAGATTGGGTGCACGCGTACCAGGTCAGTCAGCACACGCTTGGAATGACGCGGTGGATACTATTGCCACCATGGTACCCCTATGCAAATGAGACCTTCCTAAGCCAGATGGCCAGATGATAGATGGAGAGAATCTTGACACGAGCTTCAAACACTACAACGGATGTTGCTCCGCTTTGATCTGGACGCCCGAAATGGGTGCGGAAAAAATGGGTACAATGCCCAACAACAAATGCTGCCCCAAACCAACAGCGGCCGCTGTTGGGCAGGCGGGCGGCGTTCTGTCTCGAATGAACACAGGCCGCGGCGGCGTGGACAGCGAATCCTTTCCAGAATGAACAAGAACTGCTGTTGGGCATTGTACCCATTCCTTCCGGACCCATTTCGGGCGTCCAACTTTGAGGCGCCGCAAATGCAGGCCCAGTATCTGCCGGGACATGATGCGCCCATGCCTGCTTCTTTTCGGAGACGCCTTCGGGGAAGGCCAATGCACTGCAGCACCTGCTTCGTTTCTTTGAGGGAGAGAGGCAGCAGGTCAAGGTGTCGGAGAAAGAGGATGCTATACCTTATTACCTATGGGAAGCAGCTGCCAACGGTCTGTTTCCCAGCCCTTCTCCTGCCCGGCCCAACCAGCAAGTGCGACCAACAAGGTTACTCCTCTCGGGTCGCATGAGGCACTGCAGCGCGGCGTTCAAGCAGCACCTATTGTTTCTGGTAGGTACTGTGGTGACGAGGTCCCCACGGTCTGGGGTCTCCAACGTAGCGCCATACCACATCCTGCATGCACAAGCTGATGAGTCCAGCCGACTCGGTTGCTCATTATGGATCAATACCTACATGGATATCCTACATTGTGTACGTATTCCACCTAAACATTGCTACGTGCGTGCCGCTGCGCCCCGGCACCTGCTCGCTGCTATCCGCACCGAGAAGTATGCGCTAGACATTCTGGCGGTCCACGCACCGCGCAGCAGCGGAAAGCCAGAAGCTGCAATCAAGTCCTGGTGGACTGTAATCGCCATGGCACTGCAGGACCACAAGCCCCCCGGGGTAGAGCTCGTCGGCCTCGCGGGCGCGAATGCCCGCATCGGGCCCACCCTGTAGAAGTTCGCGGGGCCCAGCGCGGCCGAGCAGCAAAGCGCTCCAGGAAATGACTTCTGCGGTTTCCTGGAGGAGACTGAGCAATGGGTCCAAGCTACCTTCTTGGAGTCTGGTCAAGAATCCGCATCTACCCGGTACCCTCCCGAGTTCTCATAGGCTCATGGGAGGGCGCCGCATAGACTGCATCACGCGCTCGTTCGGCGTGTCGGTTACTAGGCAAATTGTTATGTCAGATATTGAGTTGACAACTCCTATCTTGGATCATCTAATGGTTGCTGCGAGGATTTCAGGGTCAGTCAGCATCGCGCTCAGCGCTTGTCGCAGCTGGCGAGCACAAGATTAAGCGCGGCCCCGCCAGCTTCGAGGGCCCCGCCGCGGTCCAACGTTTCAAGGGCATGCTCCAAGCCTGTCCCACTGCGCCGTTTACAAGCTCGCCTTCTTCTCACTGCCAGGTGCACAACGATCACTTGCACGGCCAGAGGGCGGCGGCCCCGCCGAGCTTCCTTGGGTATCTCAAGAAACCCTCGAAATCACAGACGCACGTGCCTCGCGACTTTGGAGCTATCGTCGCGTCGGTTTCGCTTGCCTGAATATTCAGCTCGCGCTCGTGTTCCACGTCTGGGCTGAAACACCCATGGGCCCATGGATGCGCAATCGCCCCATGCAGTGGAAGTTGTCAGAACGAGGGCCTGGCGATTTCAACTCGCGCACGGGCCGCGGGCGTCAGCATCCTGCATCTCTCTTTGGGACTGCGCTCCTGGAGTTGCGCCTTCACATCGACAGCCAGCTCGGCGTCGTGCGCTTCAGGCTCAAGAAGATAAGGTGCTGCAAGGCTTCCCAGGACTACTTGGCTCACTTCGGGCTTCGGCTCAGAGTTCGCGGCGGTATTCGGCCGGGCAGGGGCCGAGGCTTTTCCATTGTGGAAATGAAGTGGGCCTTTCCGTCTACGCTGGTATTGCTGGTTATCGGGCTTGTTGGAATAATGCTGTTTGGCTTTCTGGTCTGTGTCTAGCTGTTCGGGCCATTGCTCTCGAGACCATGGCCAAGTTCGTTGGGCGCAGGGCGAACCTTGATGCTGAGGCTCACGCTGTCTCGCTCGCCCAGGGAATCACGTCGGCCTGGCCTCGACGGAACTTCAAGTTTGCGCATGCCAAACTCCGCGCCATGGGAGCTTGCTCGCGTCGCGAACGATCGGATCGCCCTCTCCCCGTGCTCTTCGGGCTCAACGACAGGCCGCTCAAATCACGCGTCGAAATCGCTAACCGATGGTTCCAACACTTCAATGGAGAGGAAGCTGCGCCGGTCATTCCTCGCGCTGACCTACCGTGGTTCCTGAAGTCTATGTCTCAGCTAGATGCGTCGGTCTCGGTCACCCGCGAGGTCAACATTTCGAATAAGCGCGTACCGTCCCTTAGTGTCACGCCAACATTCGCTTCGACACGCCGCGGACTCCGCGGCGGGGTCCGACGGCGTCGCGGGAGCGGCGCTCGCGGAGTTGGCCATCCAGCTGAGTAAGCTTTCTCGCCCATTTTACTTCGAGAGCACGGTGAGAATTTGAGAACAGATTCAATGGAAAGGCGGGTCTATTGGAGTCTGTTCAAAGTGCGCCGCTGGAGATCGTCAGTTTTGAGTAACCGCCAAGCAATCGGGACCGAACCCACCGCGTCCTCCGAGGGTAGTCAGGCCTGGCTGCATCATGTGTTACGGTGTTGCTGTCATGTAATGTTTTTGGCTGGTCCACAGTGTACTACTGTCGTCGCTCAGCGATATAACAAAAATGTGTTGCGTTGCGCGTCTTGCAGGTGTGTACCACTGTTAGCGGTCCTCACGCATACTGGCGGTGAAGTAGGTCTTGCGGAATGTCTGCAGCGCCGCGCGTGGATTCCCCAAGATCGGGGCTGACGGCGAAGGTATTTCTCATGCCGAGCTCAAGAGAATGCGCGTTGCAACTTGGGCATGACTTACATTGCCGGCCGTCCAATCGCCAAACTCGTTTTCTCTTAGGGGCGCAGTTCTACACGTTCGCGGAAAAACTTCACGACGAACCCCACACAAATTCACCGATACTCGTTCTTGCGAAGAAGCCAACCGTTTTTCAGTGCGCAATTCGGATGCGACGCGCGCCAGCACATCGAACGTGAATGCGGACTCTGCCAAAAAAACCTTCGGTGCACCCCGCTGGAAGCCACGAGCCGGGCGAAGACTGCGCCGACATCGTCCGGGCGGCGGCGCGCGGCCTGTGCTACGAAGGCCTTCGGTGGAGCTCCCCAGAATTCCGCGAACCGCATGAAGAAAAAACTGCAATGTTTTGGGCGGCGGCAAGCGGCCTGTGCTTCAAAAGCCCTGTGGTGACGTTCTCTGTGGGGCCGCGAACCGTGTCCAGGCGTGCTGACATAGTCCACATCGCGCATAGCGGCCCGTGCCGCAGAAGCCTTCGGCGGGGTGCCGATGGGGCCCCGAACTGCAATAACTATATACTGAAATAATCTGGCCAGCGGCATGCGGCCTGCGCCGGGACAAAGAACTTCGGCCGAGCTCCCTTTGGGGCACCGAACTGCGCGAAGGGGGTGCTGGATTGGATTGGGCGGCGGCACGCAGCCAGTGCGACAGAAGCCTTCGGCGTAGCATCCTGTGGAGCAACGGGCCGCGTGAGAGAGCGCCGCAATGCTGTCGGTGGCGCCGCGCGGCGCGCGCAACGCAAGCCCTCGGTGCAAACCTCCACGAGGCCACGTCGCGCGCAAGAATTGCCTTGAACATGTCTGGTCGGCGGCGCGCGGCCTGCGGTGGAAGAAAAAGAAGAAAAAAACGCGGCCGAACTTCCTATGGCGCCACGAACGGTGCGAATGAGACCTAAAGCGGTCTGGGCGGCGGCATGCGGCCCGCGCTGCCAGGAGCTTCGGCGGGGCTCCCTTCGGGGCCACGGGCCGCGTGAATAAAGAACTCGGGTGGACTGGGCGGCGGCGCGCGGCCTGCGCTGCAATGACCTTCGGTGGAACTCTCAATGGGGCCGCGAACTTTGCGAGGGGAGAACTGGAATTGTCCGGGCGTCGGCAAGCGGCCTGCGCTGCAAAGGCCTTCGGAATGCTATCCCATGGGGCCGCG